TGTCGTCTGCATATGCCAAACATTCACTACTAATTTTGCTTAGCAAGTCATTCACAAATAACAAAAACAATAAAGGACCCAACTTTGACCCCTGGGGCACGCCCGATGTTACTAAAAATGGCATAGATTCATATTCACAAAGAGCAACGAGTTGTGTGCGGTTCAACCGGTAAGAAGTTAACCATCTATATAAGTTCCCATGGATTCCCACATGTTGAGCCTTCACAAGCAATACAAAATGGTCCACTCTATCAAAAGCTTTTGAAAAATCGGTATATATAGCGTCCACCTGCTTTTTATTATTGAACGATGAACATAAATAAGTAGTATAGCATAATAGATTAGAGTTGGTTGACCTTCCAGTAACAAATCCATGTTGTCGTTGGCTTAATATATGTTTGAGATGGTTATACATGGGTATATATGAAACCCTCGAATATCTTAGCAAATAAGTTTAGAATACAGATAGGTCTATAATTCAAAACCCTTGTCTCCAGATTTATACACTGGTGTAACTTTAGCTATCTTCCATAGGCTAGGAAATACTCCCTCATGCAAAGATTTCTCAAATATAATCAATAACGGTGTAACAAGAGCAGGAGCGCAAAAACGAACAAAGATAGGTGGGATACCGTCAAAGCCAGCACCCTTAGATAGATCGACATTTTGTAACTTTTTTAACAGTTCCTCTCTAGTTATTTGTAAATTACCAATAGAGTAGTTTGATGATGGAAAGTTAGGAGAGTAATTATTTGTGGTATTGGAAGATTAAATTTCTAGAAGGTAAAAGAACTAAATATGTAGAAGAACAGTGTTTATCGAGCGGTTAAACCGTGCTACTTTTACCTCTGAGGCCGTGCATTCATATCCCGGTTGTTGTGCAATTGTTATTCTATGTGAACATATGTAATGGTTGCAGCTCCTCCCAAACATTCTGTAAAACAAAAAACTTGGCGATTAAAAGAGTGCCGGAGTGTTTATTGCCAGCTCTTCTCTTCCGATCTACGCCCTTGATATGGGAACTGGCAGTAAATGTAAAATTAGAAGCATTTAATATGTATTTCTTTTTGACCTTCATAAGTGTACATTGTGTTACATAAATGAATAAATGATTTCGATTTGATTTGTTTTGATAAATTCGCTGCCGAGTCCGGCAGCTTTTAGACCCAGGAATCGATAGCATGTGTCGGTCGCAGACGAAACATCACTTACTCTATCAATGAAATGATCTACGGCCAAACTGATATCGAGTTGTAGCGCTGTTGTTTACTCGTAGGTACCAAAAAACTTACCTAAGCTTTACATACTAACTAATAGTCGTATTTGGCAAAATACTATACCATATACATTAACGAAAAAAATTTATTGGTTGGATTACTAATAAAAGAATCTATGAATTGTAGCTATTACAAATAGATATGGATCCCACATAGCCACACTAACTAGTCTCATATTTTTTTTATCATTAACTCAAGGGATGCACAAACGGCATGCCTTAATAAAAAGCCTCAAGAATTACTGGACTTTGGGTTATTTGTGTAATGTTTGGACATTCATTTAAAGCGGAAAGAAAATTATAATAATTTCACTTAATTACACCATTTATTCCGTAGCGAGGCCGAAGGTACAGTTTGTCTTGTGATCGTTGTTTATCACTTGTCTTCATAATATAAAGACGATAAATGCTGGTGAAAAATTAAAAGCATTTCCTTGTTTCATTTTTACTTGTCACAGTTGTTCGAGCTTAACATCTGCTTAGGTGTATTCATTGTACAATGATCAATTCAAGACAAAATGGTTTATAAAATACATTAGCTCATAGTAAGTGATTTGAGTGAGAACTTATAAATTAAAAGACTTAGGAAAAACAAAAGAAAATCAGTGTGAAATTAACAAATATATAATCATATTGTTATAATATGTGACAGGTTACTTACAAATACAATACTAAAATATTTATAAATAGTTTTTTCTATAAAATCTAAAGTAACTAAAATTCTGTTGTCAAAGAAAAAATAAACAAAATAATAAAGGTGACGAATACGAAGTAAATGATGATTTGATATATATAAGATTTTAATTGTAAAAAATAATTGAAGGCAGTCTTACTACTAAAGCTAAAAAAGTACATTACATTGTTATAATTAAGGAGTAAATATAATTTGACAGACAGTTAATACTAATTTGATTTCTGCGAATAAAGAGTGCACTTTACTATTTATTAACACAACAATAAATGAACACATTTTATAAATACATAGATCATATTGCAAAGCATAATATAGTGAATTAAAATGATATACACATAAACAGTACAGTTGAATAATCTTAACCAACTTTTTGTACGTATGTTTTCCCGGAATTAACTGAAATCGAAACCAAATTAACACACTTTTGAAGGATAAATTGTATTGAAAACAAAGATTTTATTTTTAAATTATACCTGCAGTATAAAATAAAAAAATAGCTAAATAGGGCTTAAAGTAATCCAAAAATAAACGATTACTTTATTAGACAAGAAGTCGTAAAGTGTAAACTTTAGTATCGGTCAACCTCTACCTCACACAATCATCATAAGCGATTTTTGCGATCGAATACTGCAATTCATAAATTATTTTCTTTATTGAAGTAAAGTAAAGGGATATTGGGCTATAATTTATATATAGTCCGATATATTATAATTATAGTGAATTTTGTTTAGCATAACAATCATATTGTAATCATTTTTTAATTATAAATAGTGCATATTATTATTAAATTTAAAAAAAGCATAAGACCGTTTAACTAAAATTTTAGTAATCTTACCGAAATGTATACTCGTAGTAACGCCGGTGAAAGTGTTTTTGAAGTGTATTATGTATTTGTAGTCGTAGTTGTTTATTTAATTAGTGTTATTGTAAATGTTTAATTAGCTTGTAAAATGTGCTTTTACATTTAAAATAACCAGTTGTTATTTAAAAGAATAATCGCTGTTGTTACCTTACCTGTAACCTAACCAATAAAACATATTTTTATATCCATTTCCTTATCATTTTATGGTAAAAGTTATTCTCAAGAATTAGCACGATACCAATGATGTCCAAATTATTAACGCTGTTAGCCCCTCCCTCCTCAATCAATACGATTACTACGTTCCGATGTAATCTTTTGCTGTTATTACAGATATGGCCTTATTTACGAAGGTTGTCAATTTGCTAACAATAAATTTCTCGTTAAGTGTTTCACTTATTTCCTATATTAAACAGCTGTTTTACTTGAAAATCAAAGATATTTTCTCGATCTTTAGACAAAAGTATAACTTGTTTATTGGTAATTAATGTTTACGCATTGTTTTTAGCATCTTAACAACTGTAAATAACTGTTAAAGGTATAATATTAATTAAATTTAACGCAATTATAGTTGAAAAGGTCCTCGTCAATCATACTGTTTCCTGAAAGAGCTATTTAAATCGACATTTATGAGCGATTCACTACTTAAATAACAGTGCGGGTATATTAGCATGAAAGTTAAGTAAGAGCGATCAACAAAGACCAGTGTTGGCAGACCTTGTGGTCGTGTGTTCGAATCACGAAACACTGTGTTTTCTGTCTATGGATGGAAGGCAAACATCGTGAAGAAACTGATCTCCTATGTGCCAGATGCTGAAGGCTGATCACCTACTTGTCTATAAATAATAACAATTATCAAAAAACTTATGCAATCTGAGGCTTTAAAGGGAAGTAGCCACTAGCCACTGTATTATTATTAATAGGGTGATCAGACAGAAAAGTTTTGAACGCGTACTTAAACTGGTGACTAATGTAGTAGGTTGTTTTTGTATTAGATGGTAGTTATATTATCATACTACAAGTTCTTTTCACATAAGTGTACTTATAAGCGATAGATTTATAGTGGTACTAGCAGACCGGCTAAGGTTTTTGTTATATTACATAGTAGTAAATTATTCAAGGGAAACGGTAGGAGAACTTATGTGAAACGTTGGCGCATCACAGCGCTATCTGTTAGAATTGTATCAAATAATAAACAAATATTTACAATAAAATAATATTGTGGGTATAAATTGAGATGTAAGCTTTCCTATCTTTTAAGTTGGATCAAACTACACACGGTGTGCAAATTTGATTGATATCGGTTCGGTACTTTAGGAGTCTATAGCGGACAAACAACGTGACACGTAATTTATATATATCACCAGTCATGGGAACCACCATGCTTTTTTGGTGGTAATGCCATTAAATTGTAGCTTATGTGAAACGTTGGTACTTTCAACACAGCGCCATCTGTTAGAATAGTGACTATCAAATAATAAACAAATATTTTGCAATAAAATAATATTGCGGGTATAAATTGAGATGTAAGCTATCCTATCTTTTAAGTTAGATCAAACTGCATACGGTGTGCAAATTTGATTGGAATCGGTTCCGTAGTTTAGGAGTACATAGCGGACAAACAACGTGACACGTAGTTTATATATATTAAGACTAAATACTACGCTTTTATATTATTTATACACTAAAACGTATTGTATGGGCATATAATTGTTTGATAGCGTTTTTGGGTTCGATTAGCAACTGTATAAAATCCATAATGTCCCAACATGGCATGAAGTTTTATCTCGCTCTGCCCATATTCTGTTACTTCCAATAGCGGTACAGAGTCCGACGTTTTTGTATTTCGATGTAATTCTCTCAATATCTGTGTGTCCCAAACTTACCTTAACTAGGGTTGTTTGCGCGGTTCAAAAATTCATTACTCATTACTGAATAGCCGGATCACTAGAGAGTACCGCTGTTCCCGTTTGTCATTTCTTGTCCGAGCAAATTACGGATTGAAAGCTCTCCCCTCTCTTTCAGAGGGAGTTCATTTCTCATGAATCATCAGGATCGGGATTTATCAGAACTCCTGAGAAATCAGGACTCTTCAATAAAGAGCATTGTGGCATTATTATGGTCCCTGCATCTTCTTCACTTGATGAAAGCATCAAGTGGAATGCAAACAAATGCAGCCTGTAGAGGCAAAACGTCAAGTAAATAGAAAAGGCTTTATATGGTTATAGAAACATTTTTATATCATTAATTTGTTTGCACCGACTATTAACACTTAGACAACACAAATAAAAACAAGAGAAAAAAGAAATAATAACAATTAATGAATAGAAGTATTGTAATTTAACAAATAACATACAAATTTTTTATTATTGTACATTTGTATTATTTTAAATATTTATACTTACAGGGACCATATGACATCAGATGGACTAGATATAATATATGTCCAGGATCCAAACCAAAAAATTCGACTAACATAACATTCGCGTTGGAAAAGGAAAATGATGATTATTTTGCCAAACTAACAATTGACGTCTTGGTTAAAACTTCAATAGATGAGGTATTTGCTATTAATTGTATATATAAATTATAATTGTATATTGCTGCTATGTTTTGACATAATATCAGTCTAGTGGAACATTTTATGAATCGTAACGATTACGATGTGCGTCATCAATGTGTTGGAGACAATAGGATATGGACCCACCTCCTTAGATTTAGTTAATTTATTCATTGTTAATGGCAAGAATAGTGACTATGAACAGTACAATTTAAATAAATAAAACACTCGAATAAATAACTTCTTCTTCGGTTTTTTACAGGTAAAAGTGTGGGTTTACAAAATGAAAAATGAAAGCAAAAGTTTGCTGTGGCTGTACAAGTCAAGCGATGCTTGCAAACACTTTATTTTCGGTGAGATAATTAAACAGCAATTAAATGCCAGAAGTTGTGTTATCGAAAAGGTATTTTAATAACTCAAGTTATCAATTTTTTTTATTACATCAGTAATAATTTATCTGATGGTGTTTAGTGGAGGTTGCGATGTTGACCAAGCCTTCAGATAAATTATAAATATAAAACCCTTTACTCATTTGTTTTAATCAGTATATTTTTGTATCCTACCCGCAGATATAGCTTAACAATTATTATTGACCGTCTGTTTCATTAATATTATAAATTTCCCATTTTCATATTAAATATTATATAATTGACATTTTTAAATTTCAATTATATAATATTTACGGCATACTGCCTGTACTTCGTAAGTTCTCTATACTAATCCTCAAAAAAAGCATTAGAAATATTAATAATAATTGGTGTATTCATTGTTTATAACATTTAAAAACATTATTTAATTACACTTTGCAGGGTACAAGTAATATAACACTAAATTTCTCGGAGATAACGAAAAAAATGATTGGTTCGTCATTTTTTTACGGAAATTATTCTATGAAGTCCATTGCCACGTCGAAAAAAGCGAATTTCCTATGTTTTATTTTTTATGCTGAATTTTATAAGAAAAATGTGTAATAAAATTATTTTGATATGTTATTTCAATATGTTTTGTTTTAAAAAAAGAGGGTGAAGCCGTAAACTTTGGTACACACTGCAGGATGCATACATACTGCAGGCATTATTAGTGTTTAAGGTACTTTTATTTTGTTAAAAATTGTATTAGCTAGTTTTTAAATTAAGCTTTATTTAATATTCGTTTTCTAATTAACTTGTTGACTACATTTTTGGTTGTGTTCGATATTTCTACGGGAATAGAACCCACAGGTTCCATTGCTACTTCACCAATTGGTTAACCAAGTGGCTAGACACATTTATACACAATTAATAAAGTTTCACAAAATAAAAGAAGAGAAGAGGTTAATAGAATGTAATATGTTTGTGAATTTCAATAATTTTATATTATATTTCAATTTCAGAACAATTACTATTGCTAAAAAACCAAATGCAGGCTTTATATTTTTTTTTCAACATATAAAACGAGTATTTGCACGTTATGGACATTATCATTAGTTGATTTCTTGTAATTGTACTTTTCAGTGTCAAACATCTGCATTTCTCGGCTTAAGTCTATAAAAAAATCGTCATATAACTCATCCGGGATTTTGAAAGGCACCACAGACATTATTCCACCTGAAAATTATTGTTCATTTATTTATTTGCATTTTCCCAAAGACTAAAAGGATGAAAGTAACTTGAATATTGTATACACCCTTTTCGGATACGTGTTTAAGGCCATTGTATAACATTGAATAAATTGATCTGCCTTGCGATTCTGTAACTCACTTTTCTAACTCTCACAGCGGTTTTCGCATCGGCGGTCGCTCTCAAATCAGTCGTGAAGCAGTCATTTTATGATTTGGCATTCTGATAAACAATTAACTGCAAGCTCCCACCTTATCAGAATGCCGAATCATAAAATGACTGCTTCACGACTGATTTGAGAGCGACCGCCGATGCGAAAACCGCTGTGAGAATTCGAAAAGTGAGTTACAGAATCGCAAGGCAGATCATTAATAATATTAAGGATTGATATGACCTGAGAGAGAAACTTAAGAGAAATAGCAAGGAACGAGTCAAGCAAAACGTCAAATTAAAATGTGAGTTATAAGAATTGTGCTCATTGACCTTTTGAGCGGCCGATTCTATAATTTGGTAGGTATTACCAAATTATAGACTTAACTTTGTTTTAATCTTGGCGGCACACAAAAGTGATCAGCACTAAAAAAATCTACCTACCATACCGTGTCGTACTATAACATTCCATCATATTTGATAGGATTTTTTTGCAAAATATCCACGCAGAATAATATCTGTACAGAGACACGCAAAAGAATCGTGTATATATACCTTCATAGTACACTTATTTTATGAGACGGTATAGTGAGATTTATAACAAGCTCTATATAGGTTTAATTGTACATTCGTGGCTTATGTTTGTTTTTTATTTTGCTAATCTAAAGTCTAAAGTTGATAAAAATGTTCTCGAATTTGTTACCGTGTGTGTGTCTCTTTCCCCATTCGACGACAAAACCTACCTTTTAAATCCTCTAGATTTTCGTACTCGTGAAATATTAATTTGTGTTCCAATTTTTTTATAGTAAATCCAATTTTGCCTAATAATTGCTGCATTTCTTTAAGGGAATCCTGAAAAGAGTATATTTTTAATTAATCGGAAATTTGTGGTAGGTTCCAATTGTAGGTAGAACTCCAGGCTTTTAATATTCTTGAGTTTCATATACAGGCATAAATCACGCTTTATCTTTACTCAGAATCTTAATCTTTTCTTTACAACTAAAAAGAGATGTCGGATTTGGTAAATATATGTTATATAACTGCAACACTCATCACTGAGGTTATAGTCCCCCTTCTATGTCAAGCAGAGAAGAGAATCTACTTGGCTATTAGAAAAAACAAATAATCACGAAAAGTATACATAAATCTAGTCCAAGACTTAAAACTAAGGAAAGTAATGGATAGTTACTTACACGAAAGACAAATAAAATTAACCTACGCTGGACAAACGGTTGAAAAAGTAACTAACAAAGGCTGCGTTCAGGGTTCAATAGGGGGACCAACAATGTGGAATCTAATATTGGACCCGCTCCTACAGGACTTGCGAAATGGTGGTGAGTACGTCCAGGCTTTTGCGGATGACGTCGTTTTGATAGCGGAAGGAGAGACCGGTAGTGAGATCCAGCAGAACCTCAACCTAACATTGAACCGGATACATAGATGGGGTATCCTAAACAAACTGAAGTTTGCGCCACACAAGACCAAAGCCATGGTGGTGACGCGCAAACTGAAGTATGATACCCCACGGCTAAATATGAATAATGTACCGATACAGATGGATAACCACATTCGAATTCTCGGAGTTGATGTGGATGCTAGACTCACGTTTAACAGACATGTGGAGAGGGTATGCCGGAAGGCCATCCAGATATATAAGCAGCTGGCCAAAGCCGCGAAGATCGAATGGGGACTAAACCAGCAAGTTATCGCGACCGCGTACACTGCCGTTATTGAACCAATCGTAATGTATGCGGCCGCGGTGTGGGCTCCCGCGACAAATAAAATCTGTGTACGCAGAAAACTAAATCATCTTCAAAGGGGCTTTGCCCAAAAAGTAGCAAAAACTTATAGGACGACATCATTACACGCAGCAACCCTACTGGCCGGGATACTTCCACTAGACCTCCGTATTCAAGAAGCCGCTGCCTTATACGAGATAAGAAGGGGGGTCAGCACGGAAATACTGGAGGGCGAAGAATTAGAGAGGAGAGTGAAATACGTAGATCTCCCACACCCGGCGAAACAAACAAAACTGGACTACAAGATGCTCACCAATCCGGAAGAAATCGAAGGACACGGCGGCACACAAATCTATACGGACGGCAGCAAAACAAGTATAGGAGTGGGTGCCGCTTGGACGGAATGGAAAGATGGAATGGAAATAAATAGCAAGATGATTAAGATGGCGCCCCACTGCACAGTTTTTCAAGCTGAATTGACGGCACTACGAAACGCGACTAGCCACATAAATAACAATAAGCGTGACGCTAAAATATACAGTGATTCTAGGTCAGCATTAGATGCTATTGTGAGTGGACGATCTCTCGATCCCCAGGTAGCCGAGATCCGCCGGAGCCTGGAAGAGTGCCGCAAAAGAGGAACTCATATAAGCCTCTTCTGGGTAAAGGCGCACGTTGGTACGCCAGGGAACGAGAGGGCGGACACGTTAGCAAAAGAAGCGGCGGAAAGACTAAGGTCAAAACCTGAATACGCCGCATACCCCCTGTCATATGTAAAACATCAGATAAGGCAAAAGACTCTAGATGTATGGAATGAACGCTACCTGGGGGGTGAAACAGCTGGAACTACAAAATTATTTATCGCAAATGTTAGAACTGCGTACAAATTAATAAAAGAGAAGCGTTTCACACCCCAGATGGCGCAAATTCTTACAGGGCACGGAGCCTTTGCACATTACCTTCATAGGTTTAAAATTAGGACAAGCCCAGCATGTGACTGCGGCGATGAAGAACAAACAGTAGAACATGTGCTCCTACATTGCCCTATATTTGCATCGTCCAGGCACGACCTGGAGCAACAAATGCAGATGACTGTAGACCGTTACGGCCTACAGGACATGTTAATAAAGCACAGATCGTGCCTGGAACGGTTCTGCGAAAAAATTGTGGAATATGTAAAGGCGGCAAACAAAACCCCAAGAACGGGTCTCGCGAGGAATTGCGTCCCGGCTCGCCCATGAATATTGTTAACAAAAATATTACAGATGTAGCTGGGGCGTCTTTCGCGAGACGTGTGATGTGCAAAGGTCCCTGGACACAATGGCAGGGGAGTAGAAAAGTGATATATTATAAAAAAAAAAAAAAAAAAAACATGGCATGAAGATTTATGCGCTTGCTTCGTTTATTTTCTAATACACGTAAGACCAGTGCTTAGACCTATGCCGTGTCGAATCCAGAACCAGCGGACTAGTGGCTATTTGGTTTAACCACATGACCTTAAGAACACTTAAACAAAGGTTGTTAAACTCGCGTGAAAGCGCTAAGACTTCTGAGATATAAAACGATTTATAAGTTTTGATCTAAAAATCAAATCCATATAAAGAACATCTATTGGCTGAAGTGAAAAAGTTTCTACATATTCAGTCATGCATGAAATATAAAGCCATTATGCATTTGAAGGTTCAGATTAAATCAACCAATGCTATTATTAATTACTTGTGATAGCTATCAGCGTAATTCGGAGTCGGGCAATGATTCTCACGATACAAGATGTTAGGTATTCTCTTATTTATCTGATACGACACTTAAATTGTAACTGTATAAATAAATAGTTCTAGTTGTGAAGTCTGGGAGTGGCTTGGCCTTTTTTATCCTAAAGTTATATCTTTTAAAATTAAGAACAAAGAACAGTGCCATTATAATAATCATGAAATATATACAATATACATATACTTCATGATTATATGTCAATGAAATAAAAATATCCCATACATTTTCTTAAATCCAAGTAGAAATAACAAAAACCTAGGTAGGTTTTAAAGGGTTAAACAGGATGCCATAATCTGAATTGTTGTTTGATTAAAAAAAAAACCAAAGCTTACGATTATTTATTTTTTCAAATATTGCGAGTAATCTGTAGGTATTCTTTCGTTTTGGTCTTAATTGAAACACGTATTTCACTATTATTTTTTTCAAAGGAAGTCTTAGAGCTATTGAGATTGGCTTCTGCGATGTATTTTGTCTTAATGATTATAGTTTACTATTAGTTTGGATTTTAAGTTCCTACCACAACAGCTAAATACTGTTTAATACATACATTTCTACAACTACAACAAAGCCTTTTGCGCTTGTGTATGTGTATTGTAAAATATCAAAAGTACTAAAACTAATGCTCGATTATAATCTTGATTAATTACCTTTTTAAATTTAACAATATATATTTATATGCAATTATAATCTTGAAATAAACAAGATAAAAACAGC